GCTCGGGAGAAGCGGAGCATCTCTCAGCGGCCGTGTTCTAATCATTAAGATTGGAGCCCGCTGTACATGCACGGCACTTGTCCCTTTGCATAAAATTTGTTAGTCAGATTAGGCAGGTGACTCTGAACGCGTCCTCTCGCGAGCTCCTCGGAGATGCCGCTAATTTCGGAATCGATACAACAAACTCCGCCGCTACATCGTGCAGCGTCTTCCGCGGCGACGTGGACGAGCGGAATCGCGTTAATATTTCACGTTGCCCAATGAGCGTGCGATATTCGCGGGAACGACGAATTCAATCATTCGAACACGTATTTTAACCGTAGGAATTTGTGCCGGATAAAAATGGGAATATTATTCCTCGAGGGGAACATTGTTAAGCTCGGATTTGAACCAATTTCAGGAGTCGATGTAAGAGATGAAAGTGTGTGACACGCGCGATCGACGACCGACGATAGGTCCATAGAAATAAAATGAAAAACGCCCTCAGCGCAGCTGGCGCCAGGCACATTTTCGTTCCACATACGAGAAAATCTCGATCGTCCGATAAGATTCTTGCCGAAGGAGAAACTCCCGAGGAGCGCGTATATACTCCGCGGTTTCTACGGCCCCATAAATAGTCGACACGTTCCTGGGAGCAACCCCGGAATATGGAGGGGAGAACAACCTTGCAAGCCCTCAAACTACGTTGTGCGTGCGTAGCTTCGGCGGCGGCGGTGGTGGGGTCTGGATTTTTGGAGGTTGGTAGAATGGCCGAGAGCACGAAGGGGGTTCCAGGAGGGAACAACGGGAGGGAGATCCCGAGAGGAAGCGAGACGGAGAGTACGAGCGGCGCGAGAGGAGAAACGCGGAATGGCGGCAGGAAGCGGTAAGAGGCGGTGGCCGGAGGGGGTAGGAGGAGGGAAAGGGCGGCCGAGGGGAAGAGCCGAGCAACCTGCACCCGGCAACAGCCCCCGACCTCGGAAGAACTAATCATTAACCTCCTTTCACCCTCCCCGAATGCTGCCGGCTCTAACTCGACCACCTTCGCTTCACTTTCACCTGCGCCTCTCTCTCGTCCACCCCTTGCCTTCTCTCTCCTTCTCTCTTTCTCCCCTGCCCCTTCTCGGCCGCCCTCCCCTCACTCTCACTCTTCCTTTCCACCCTCGCTCTCCTCCCTTTCCCTTTCTTCGCGGTTCTCCCTCTTCTCCCCTTCATCCCGGTTTTCCCTTTCCTCTCACGTCCGCCCACGCTGCGCCGCGATGTGTTTACGATTACGATTACTCGCACTCTCGCTTTTGCCGACTCTCCCCCCCCCTCGTCCCCCCGTCCCTTCGCCTTCAATCCTCGCTCTCGTCCTATCGACCTCCAAACCTTGTCGCTACTTTCGGTCTACCTAACGCAACCGATGCGACGCCCGGCATCGCGACGCTTAAAGTCGAGGGCTTCCTTTCGAACCGACGGTGATGCACGGCCGCGGAAGAAAGGGAAACGGCCGTTATTTGCAGAGCTATTATATCTTCGAGGGGTGTCTCTCGTCGTTGCGTAATATCGAGACGTGGTAGATATCGCGACGACCATCCTTTCCCTCGTCGACGGGGGAATTCGATCGAAAGTGAGATGAGGAGTGCGATGTATCGGAGAAATTTCAAAAATGTTCCAATTTGTCCTGCGCGGTGAATAATTCATCCCCCCGAATTTTACCTCGATATGAAAAATGTAAAATTATCACGATCGATATTTTAATATTGCATATATTAATTGGAACGTAAAAATGTCCCTCTGACAAACTCGCAGGAGACAGTTGTTTCTAACATGTTTAGGAAACGCGCCGTAATATATTCCTCGTTTAACCCTTCCCCGTCGCCGTCACGCCGAAAGACAGGACGGAAAGGTGTGCCATCTTAGTGACAATCGTCGATGTAAATAATTCAGTAGCTGGTCGAAAAAGGGCAGCTCCGTCATACAGGTATCTTTATGGACAATCGATGTCGCGGGGAAATTCGACGTCGGACGGCACGAGTCGTACATACGAAATTACACCGTTTTCTACGCGGCAATTGGCCTTTATCTGCCACTACATCTTGATTTATGCGCCGAGTTCCTAGACGATAGGATCACGCGCGTGGTGGCTGGGCAACATGGCGTACAAGAACGCAACGCGGTCGCGGTACACGAGGATACGTACGAACGGAGTTGAACATTCGAGAGGCCCCATCCGGACGAACGATCGTCGAAATGAAAGTACGCGGAAAATAATAAATTAATTTCGCACGAATGGACACAGCCGCCGATAAACCTTCGACCTTTGCATGGATAACGCTCGTATCGATTCATCGACGCGAGAGAAATGAGAATGATATTCCTCTATCTTCTTCCTATAAATTAAAAAGAATCTAACCTCGCGAACGCAGGCTGTTTCTGAGATAGCATTTTCACTTTTGCATACAACACTGACGGTGTTATACGCAGCGCATTCAGAATGTGCATCGCGCTTCTTTACATTCCTCTCGATTAACGCGAGCAATTTAATATTTTTCGCGCTTATTCGAAAGCTTTTCTTCAGATCGATGACTTGCAAAAACGCAGATCGCCCGTGATCCTCGTAAATCGTACGCAGCTCACAAAGTACACGGCGGCGCACCCGCGTGCGAAGGTCGGAGTCAGTAGCAGAAGGGTGCGCGGTGGCAGCCGAAAACGCGTGAGGAGGGGGCCTGCGGGGGGACGGGGAGGGGCAAGATGTGCAACGCACATCTATTGATTCTCCTCCAGCGTGAAGGCCCGCGTGGTGCGGCGGGGTTCCGCTCTCGCTCTCCCTTTCTCACTCCCTCTCTCTCTCTCACTCTTCTTCTCGTTGCGGCACACGCAATTTCGCGCGCGCGTGTGTCGGGAGAGAGAACGAGTGCGCTCGGTGGATGCAGGGCACAAAGCAGCAAAGAGTCGTCCTGCGCTGTCGGAGGCGAAAAGCGGAAAGAGAAAGAGAAAGGGAGAGCAGAGGAGAGAAAGAGAGAGAAAGGGAGAGAGAAAAGGGAAACTGGATCCTGCGTGAGGAGACAGCAGCTCCCTTCTCTATCGTGCGCGCGCGCCGCATTCTCGGTCGCGTTTTCTCGCTCGCTGACGCATAAGAATTAGAATGCCGGGGCCTGGCGGGCATTTGCATCGCGTCCGTTCAGCCTTTGCACTTGCAACTTTCTTGGAGATCCTTCACCCGGGGTGGGTAACGATCGTCTTTGCGAACAACGGGTGTACAGTCCCGGCCAGAACAGGGTTGCGAAGGGTGGTTTGCCGAAAAAAGGGCGACGAAAGAGATCTCCGAAAGAGAGCACATCGGATAATTGATCGATGGGCAAAGAATATTAGGAATATTACGCGCGAACGTCCGTTGTACATTATGTATTTGCTTGGACCTTCTTCACGTTTTTTTTATTTTTTTTATTTTATGATATTATATTTTCTTTAAATTTTACATTCACTTTTTTAATCGAAATTTAGAGTCGAATGTGTCAATGTTAATTTTTACGTAATATCGTCTTCTACTAATAAATCAATACAGGACAAATAAATGCTAAATTTCTTATTTATGTCCTTGTTCCACTGCGTGATAATTTTATTCTAATTATATACTTAGCTGATTGAGGTCCAAAGCTGCTCCACGTGCGAACTTTGAATATGCATCGTTTGTGCTAATTTGTTACGCGGCGTCGAATTAATAATGTCGTTATTTACATAAATGGATATATAAAGGTCGGCAGCCGTGAAAAGACACAAGAGCGAGGGACAGCACGGTGATTGCTTTCACAACCGTTACTGAGATGCAAAGTACGGAAATCATCGCGCGAAATGACCCAGGCGTGCAGATACACAAACACATGTCAGCGAGCCTGAGCCTGTGTTACCAAACAAGGAGCACGAGCATTATAAATGCTATAATTCGTGAAATTCGTTGAATCACTGTTATCATCGACTGTGACATTATATGTAGTGTATTTAAAATGTATGTACAAAACTCTCAAACGGTTTCTAGTTTGAATTTCTCCATAGAGTATACACACAAGGTTCTCAAATTTTTTATATAAACTTGAACCTTTCGACATAAACTCTTAGTAAAAAAAATTATGAGAAGAAGTTCACTTGAAAATGCAAGAAAAACCCACGGGGTTTCGGATATTGTTGTTCAAATATAAATATAATTCAGATATAAATCGGCGAGATAAAAGTAATAATAAGAAATGATTGGCAATTAATAGTACGACGATAATCGTAATACAAACGGGATGACAACCGTCTATCACCAATTACCGTCGCAATTATTGTTATTGTCTTCGACGCAGCGACGCGTCTATATCGGCTTTCAGAACACGTACGAAATTCCACGCGGAGAAGAATGCGATATCAACACTGCGGAGCAGTCTAAGCGAGCTCCTGGCTTGTCGCAAAAAAAGAGAGCATTTGCCGCAGGACAAACTGAAAAGTTTATTTCATCACCGTGGAAACTTGTAAAAACTGGAGCAACCGCGCGCGGAGGAAGTCGCGTTAAATTGCATTAGAAATGAAGCCCATGCAAGTTTTCACTCGGAAACTTATTACGTCGTATTCAACGCAAGAGATACTTGCAGAAAGCTAGTTTTATTTAATATTATGCGAGATATACACATCCAAAAATATATATACAATATCATATTACGTTCAAATATGAAGAATGATGAATTTTGACAAAAAATGATTTAATTGATCAATAATAATGCGCAAAAATGACTCATACTTTGCAAGTTTACATATTTCAAATAATGATGATATATTTGTCAATGTCAATAAAGACATGATCGTAGCTTTCGTAAATTTTTCCGGTACAGAAATAAATTTTTCAATTTGGTCGCTTCAATAATACATAGTCGTTCGAATACCTTGTCAAAATTCTTCACGTCGCGATGAAATTTCGCTTTTTCTTCTCTGGCGTTAGAAAAAAACCAACACAGACATTCCCGCTTAACAATGCATTGCGTAAACAATGCTTACGTACTCACCGGCAATTGAACCGCACTTCCTTGCGTTTCTCGAGCCCGATGGATCCTCTCTCGCTTTTCAACCCTTTTGACGTAGCGGCGTGGCTCGCTGACGACGCGCGACCAGGTAATACATCGTCGGCGAAGCCTCGCCGGCAGCGGTTCCAAGTGTCAGTTCCGGGATGAAAGAGACGGAGAAGAGATAGAAGAGAGATAGAACGCGGGAGAGTCAGCTGGTCGGCGAGGGGGTTAAAGCGCGCGCGTATACGCAATGTATTGTATGTGACTCGCCGAAGGAAAAAAAAACAAGCGGAGACACCGCGCGCCGGCCGATAGAACGCGGCCACGTAAACACACCAAGTATCCGTAAATCACGTACTTTATCACGCCACACGCGCGATTCCTCTCGTCCGTACGCTGCCAGCAGCGACGAGGGCGATTGTAGAGTACCGACAGCGATCGCCCGGCGATTGCGATGACGATTGTCGTCGCACGCGGCCCCTCATAGACGACTCCGCGCCGGCAACGAAAATTTCGGCCTCGCCGCCGCTCGCTGGCGCCTCCTCGCGGAAACAGCGACATCTCCGCAACCCCTGCCCCTGAGCCGCGAATTGCGTTGCGATTGCGGGTAGCTGCGACGTGAGGGGTGCGTGTTGCGTGTAGGACTCACGCGGGGCTTCCGGGAAAGGGGGATTCGGTGAACTTCGCTCGCCGAAGTGTGTCTCGTAAAATTATTCGAGAAACTACCATGCATTCTTCCAAAGAAGTGTACACATTTCCTAAAAAGCTATATATTTCATAAATATGCGTATATATATTTTATGAGTAAAATTGAACAATGCCTTTTGTAAAGGTTTTTTTACTTAACGTTTATTCTAAATTCAATACAGCGGCCTCGCTATACCGGCGATGTAATGTTCAATGATGTCTCGACGTCTCGAGAAATATACAAAACGTTTTCCGATTTTTTCCTGCGTTGACAACAGGCCTTGTTGCACGCGTGCACAGAGCATTTTAATTTCATAAATAATTTTATTATTTGACTACAGATAACGGATAGTCATTAACCAACAACGAGTAAATCGTCTATGAATTCGTAGGGTGGAACTTCGAGGTTTAGCGGGGCCGGTCCTTTCCTAATCCTACCGCTGGCGTCGTAATGAGAGCCGTGGCATGGACAATAGTAACCACCGAAGTCTCCCGCGTTAGCGATGGGCACGCAGCCCAAGTGTGTGCAAACACCTATGACAACCAACCACTTGGGGTCCTTCACACGAACGCTGTCCTCTTCTGGATCACGGAGGCTTGCAACGTCCACCTTGGCTTCAGTCGCGATTTCTGATCCAACTCTGCAGATTTTCGTGAAACAAACGTTGTAAGTATCACATGGAGATGGACGATATCTCTTAAAAATATTGTTAGAAAACGGATATCTCTGTAGCTACCTATGTCTCACGAACAGGGGCTTTCCGCGCCATTTGAAGACAGCGCTCTTTCCCTCGGGAATACTGTCCAGCTTTATCTCCACCTTTGACATAGCCAACACATCAGCCGACGCACTCAGCATGCTAAGAGCATCGGTCACTAGCGTTTTCGCCGCATAGACGCCTGCCACACCAGCACCTGAAAATTGGAGGTAAGTTAGTTTATTGCTCCATATTTTAAACCGGATGCAACACTAAATGTTCTCTGTATACTTGCCAGCTGTCACAATGTATGAAACGGACTTCCGATCCGCCTCAGTCTCCTTGGCTTTTGCACTTGGGTCATTTACTGAATCTCTGCGATAGTGGGAGAAGTCTGGCCATTGAATGTCTGTGTGGGCCAAACGCCGCTGATGCACCTGAGTGCTGGCTGCAACGATACAACCTAAATTATATTATCGCTCTTACATACGAAAGCTTCATCAGGATCTTTTACAGATGAAAATGCAATGCATTGACGCAATAAATTCGCTATATCCTTAACAAACTATTTTGGTGCAACATTGCAAACATAAGCTCGATGGGTAGCGCAGTGACCTGCAAAGTGTAAGACTTTAGATGTATGTATTGATTATATAATCACGGATTGCGAATCGTCTCGATTTATCAAGATTTATATGTTTTCAGAGTACTCATCACCACGCAGGAAGGAATTGTTAATGCAAACGCACCTGCGACTCCCGAGCTTATGCATGTAGGTCCAGTGAGAAGATCCTGATAGATACTATGTCCGGTGACACGTTTGACGGGAGGAGGAACGGAAACCTTCGGCTTGTTAACTTTACCGGTCGCAGCTACAGGTTTTCCTCCGTTCGAGACGGCTGTCGCCGTGGCTCTCAGGAACGGCGAGAGGGCCGTCGATTTTGCGATCACATTCATTTTTACGGGAACCACTCGTAAGAATGAAAGGAACGACAGATTCACGACCAAGGAACGATACTACACTACTGCGCCGCAGCAGACTGCGGCGAGCGCCGTCAAGTTCTCGCGCAATCGCTATTTCATCTGATGATAACACGGTAATTCTCAAATTGAAATATTTGTTTCTCTTTGCTGATCTAAATTGTACTTGGAATAAAATAAAGGTATATTCAGAATTTTGAGAAAATAACGCAAAGAAGAAATTTACAAGGAAAAAATGTATAAAAATCGTTTAACTTGTGTTTTTTAACAGTAGCTAGTGTTTATGACACTCCACCGCTGGATGACGACACGGGATGTAAACTCCTGGACGCGATGGAGCGTCCGCGGCAGTGAGTGAGGAATAGAAGCTCGTGGCAACTCGTGGTGTGACAATCCTGCCGAGGGATGTCCGCGCCGTCGTGTAGATGATCGACTCGGTCGCCGTGGAGTGATATTCAGTCGTCAAAATGTGATTGCTGGCGCAGTTTTAGGACTTGACGCGGCAAGTTATACTTTTTCCTTTACCTCTAGTCGAGCGCGGAAAGGAGTGCCAGTGATAAATCGCGTAAGAGCCGAAGTCATGGCGGTCGCGGCAGGTTCCTTCGACGCTTGGCTCAGCGAAAAGCTCCAGGCGCTGAATACGGATGAGAGTGTTTTCGCTACGTACATCAAGGGTATCCTCGAAGGCGATGAATCCGAAGACGAGAAAACGGAGGCGCTCGAAAGCATACTCGCAGGTGTTACAGTAAGTGATGGTCTTTCACTCAATACGAGTCGTTAAGGTTACAATACGCGTGGCTGCATCATCAGCCGGTCGAAAATAGATGCGAGGCCACTCCGAAAGTACGTGATTTTATTTTCCATGCGTTCTTCTTTAGCAATCTTTATTCGTGTGCGCGTATTTAGGATGACTCAGCTCATAATATGTAACTCTTATTTATTATACTGGAATGTAATATTGCGCCACACGTCTTAACATTTAATAAATAAAATGTACATTAACGTTAAAATGTACATTTTATTCATTTTTATGCCTTAGAATCATTGGAGCACTTTAGGAACTTTGAAATCTTATATTTTAAACAAAGAAGAAGTGGTCTAGAATTGTAGAATATAAAATTTTAATACATTGCAGTAAAGTTCTAGGCCTGCCAAGTGATATAAGATTCTAATGTACATTTTGTTCATTTTTATGTTTTAGAATCTTATATCGATATGATATTGATAGTTTACTTACAATTAGATTGCTCTAAAAATAAATTGTTACTTTCATGCATTTACATAAGATTATGCAATATTTGTTGAATTGTCAATACAGAACTTTGATTTGTTTGCAGGAGGATAATATCAGCAAACATGTAGCGGAAATCTTAAGTGCATGGGCAGAGTGGTTGCCAGCTGAAGATATAGCTGCAGCACCTCCACCAACAGAAGATGTGGATGTTAGATTGGCACGGATGCTGGAATCACAAAGTCTGCCCACAATGATACAGAGAAATTACACAGCCGAAGAGAGACGAATACGGGAGGCTATATTAGCACAATACAGTCAAATGTCGGATGAAGAAAATAGCGAAGGAGATGGGGAGGAGGATGGAGCCAGTGGCGGAGACTGTGGGATTGAAAAGAATTTAAATGCAGCAACTATCGTACAACAAGAAAGAGAAAAGAGAGAAAAGGCTAAGCTTGAGAGCCAAAAAAAGAAAGAGAAAGACAAAGAGGACAGGTAAGACAATGATTACCAGGCATGATTGTATGATTGATTGAAATTGTAAAATTGTAAATATTAATTTTGTATTTTAGAGAAAAGCAAAAGCAATTGAAAGAAGAGAAGAAGGAGAAAAGAAAAACCCAAAAAGGAGAAAGGCGAAGGTAGCATCGATACGAAAGTGGCGTAAAATTTACCTCAAGATTAAAGATTATCGAAAACATATATGCTGTGGTATTCATGTCTGTCTTTATCGTCGTGCACATGCAACGATCTCCGACAATTATTTAAATCAGCCATCGATCTTATATTTTCATTAGAACGATGTGTGTAGTGTCCATGTTATTAGAAGATAAATTCGTAGATTCAATATGAATGCATACATCACAAAAGAAATAACTTTGCGATATAACATTGAATCATCCTGTGCCTTCTGTCTCTAAAATATTGTCCCCTTCGAAAGGTTTGTTATTTATACTATTTTTATTTTATTTTATTTTTTTTAACGTTATCACTTTGAAGTCCTTATTCAGAACTTATATCTACGTTGTATCAGTTATTAATGATTGACGATGGTTCTGAATATCGACGCAACTCTCATTCATTATTGATGCGCTGCTGCGCCGCGTTATATATTTCATTATATCATGTATTTAATATGAATATGTTAAATAAACTATTTAAATCACTGATATTCGATATTCAGTACTGCGAAATGCGAAAGGCGCGAGAGAAATAGCGCTTAAGCCAAAGTAGGATTAAGTACGACGGACGGATGAAATAAGGAAGACGTACCCTTTGCATTTGTATTTTTTTTATTAGTATATATTTACACACAAGATACCGAGTCGAAACCTAGTCATCTTGGTATTGCATTAATAATGAAAGACAAACGCAGTAAGATAAAAACAAACGAACAAATGATACAAAAGATGATGATGCTTCAGTATCGTATCATTACATATATACTAATGTCATTATAATAATCATTTATTAGCAATTCTCTCGTCTTGCTATAGTTAAGTCTGGGCAGAAATTGACGAACTCGCACTTACACACGTTTATAACAAGACATCCGCAGTTGAACGCCAAATTACAAATCACTTTATGAACCCTCGCTCCCATTTTTTCGGAATCCTTTCTCGCACCCCTCCCCCTCCCTATTATATGCTTGTTAAACATTCATATTTTCACGCGGATACGCGCACCGAGGTCCTGTCCGCGTCATCCGGGGTAACGAGAAGCGATCTTAATCGCGCGCGTGGCCGGCGTCTAAAATAATCTAAACGATCCTTGGTCGCGTCAGGCATCCTGGAATCGTTTTTAACGCATTTAACGAGCTTCTCGAACGAGAAACGCTTTTCTCATCGCACGGCTGCTCGCGTCTATCGTCTAAAAACTTACTAGCGCGTTCAATACAAACGCGTAACTCTATGATTGTCCTACTGAGATGATCTACGAGGCTCGGCCATCGCGGCGGCGAGATTCTCCCGCGATAAGCGCTCCTCTTCCGGGGGGGCCCCACTCTCGTCGGTCGCG